ATATTATGGATTGTAGTTTAAATAGCTAGTATGTGAGACTTGTGATATGTGACCCATGTGAAAGGGTTCTTTAACTCCCTAAAGTGGTTATTACCAACAGGTTAAGAATCACTGATCTGTCTCCTGGTCCTGAATTGTTGATGCTATGGGGTACACTATGTTTTACAACAGGAAGCAGTTGAGGGCCTTACCCAGGTAGGAATTTGAACCCAAAAGGTATAGGTGGCAGCTCTGTGGGACAGTGCAAGATAATGTCACAGAAGACCTGCACTGACAAGGCAGAGGTGAGGAGAGCCTGTGCTTATCAGGCTGATAAAATCACCTCATTAGTTCGCTTTTTTATTGTACCCTGCCATAGCCACAGCATGGACTCTGAGTCATTTTGAATATCTGTAAGCCTCACCCCAAACCTTACCCCAAACCATGGTGACTTCCTTGTCACAGACCCAGCATGGAGGAAGGAGCGGGGAGCAGGAGCAGAAGGCTTCACTAGAGCTCCTGAATCTCTAAGCAGGTGTGTACAGATGTAGAAACCACAGGTGGAGATGGGCATGGACACTTGAAATTTATACCCAGGAATGGGGGCTGCAAATGTCTACCCTGCAGACTGCAATAACTCCCACAGGATTTTGCAATTTGTCTTTTGATTCTCATTTGTTTTCTTTTCATTTTATTTTATTCTTGGAATTTTAATTTCCCTTTTTTATTTCTTCAATGACATATTCAACATTTAATACGTTTTTTAAACTCCATGGGACTATAGTTTCTCTTGTTGTGAGTAGTGAGTTTTATTTCATTGTAGCAAAATAGGAGAAATTATTATAATATTTCTATATTTGTAAGACATGTTTTGTATCCTATTATATGACCTATTTTATAGAAAATCCCAAGGGCTGCTGAAAAGAATGTGTATTCTATAGTAGTTAGATGTAAAATTGTGTAGGGAACTGTTAAGTCCATTTGTTGTATGATAGCACTTGTTTATTTTTCTGCTTTATTTGTGTGTGTGTTTTCCCTAATTACACATCTCCTATTCGTTCCTTTGCCATTCTGTACACACACACAACTGGCAAGCTCCCATTGAGATCAAATTTAGACAAACATTTTCAGGCCCTGTTGTTTCCAACACTAGGACTCTCTGAACTCTGAGATCTGGTCCATGAACAGGAGTTTCAGAATCCCAGGGAACTCTGCCAGGATACATAAAAAATACAGGTTAACAATTCTGAAACAGCTCAGTATGAATTCCTGGATGAGAAAGTAAGCAACATCACACTTCAGAGACAGCTGAAGACTAGCTTACCTTGGCTCTTTCTGTTCAGCTCCCAAGTCTAATAATACATTCACAACCCAGAACAGCAGGCTTTTTCTTTAGTGGTCTGAAGCATCCCACTGGCATGGTACAGCCATGGTTTCACCTGCTTCCTACAATTAGTAAAGAATTCTACAGATTCAGAGTCTCTATCCAATACTCTGTGTTCTTAGCCCTTACCAGGAAAAGAATCTCTCCGTCTCTCCGTCTTTCTCTCTTTCTCTCCTCTTCTTCCTTTCCCTCTGTCTGTCTGTCTCTTTCTCCCACCTAAGGAATGACTGTACCAGTAGCCATGTCACAAGAACAGTAGATGGCAATTAAAATTCAAGGTGTCAGCCCACCAGGAGGAAAACTAATGGGAAACCCTCATTAAGCAAAGTCATGAGGCTACAGATTCCAGAATATCTTCTGTTTTTGTTGTAACTTTACATGTTGCTGCTACAATCTTCCCCTAGTGGATGTGGGGAGTCCCTCACTGCCTGTATTGTGTGTTTATCCCATGAACACGTCCCAATCTTCTGGGCATTTTTATCTGTGGGTTGTCAAGAAAACGAGTCCTTCTTAACTTGTATTGTCTAATTCATATTGATAATGTTAGCTTATAGAATTTTGTTGAACAAAAATGAATACAAGGAAATGCTACACAGTTGGGGCCCATGAATTCCCCCAGGGTGCAGCTTTAGATCACAGCTCTGGTTATCAATCAAGGTTGATTGCTGGCCATTTTCTGTGTGGAGATAGATTTGGCTCTATCTGCAATCTTCCACATGTCAGCATCCAGTTATGCCAGCACCATTTGTTGAAGATTCTTTTTTCCATTGAATAATTTTAGCTTCTTTGTCAAAAATCAGGTGTTCATAGGTGTGCGGATTAATATGAGGGTCTTCAATTTGATTCCATTAGTCTGCCTGTCTGTTTTTATGCCAATACCAAGCTCGAGCAATGGATGGGTGTGCTGGGCGGTAACCTAGAGGAGGGCTCCTGGAAGCTGAAAGATGGTTCTAGTGCATGCCATGGCTGTAGGCGCTGCATGTAGGAGGCATGTGGGAAGTGAGAAAAAGCCATGACAGCTCCAGGAAATCAGGGAAAAGCTGTGGTAGTGGGAATGGGCCATGCGAACAAGGTTGGGGAAACAGTAAGGCCGGTACCTACCAAACATGCTTGGCAAGAAGCCACAAGGAAAAGGGCGAGGGTGGGGAATGTAGGTGGGGGCTGGGAACAGGGCAGGAGTGCAGTGACCAGTATGATCAGTCTCACTAACAGGAAAATCTTGCCTGCCCACAGTTCAAGGCATCTACTGTTCTTGGAATGACATTGTTTACACATTCTGCCAGCAGAGGGCACTTGAGACCTCTAGCCAGACACCTGTTTCTCACCACACAGCAGACCTGTGGGTATCTGGACCCTGGATTTCTCAATCTACAAAACTAATTTGTTACTGTTTGTAAGTTACTGATGCTATGTTTTGTGTTTGTTTTTGTTTTGCTTTGTTTCAGAGATGTGGGTCTTGTTATCTTGCCCCATCTCAGCCTCCAAACATCTCAGGCAGCAGCCACTAAGAGTTTAGTTTGTAGTTTATTATCTACTGGGAACATCATTGTGAACTCATGAAGGCAATATGGCTTGAGGAAATCAGGTTTCTATTGGCAACTTAGATATATGAGAAAACCTGAGTTTGCTGAGAGAGGTCATGAAATTTCCTGTAGTATCAGTACCTGAAGCTACTGCTTTATTTGAAGAAAGTCTGAGGCTTGGGGAAGAAGAGAGAGGGATGGGGAGAGGATGACGGGAGAGAAGAAAGGAATCTAAGCCAACTGAAGTCTTAAAGAAGATGGGGACACTTTGGGCTTTTACATGCATACATACTGTCTGAGTCTAATCAAAGTTTTCCCAGAAGGATAATCCCATAGAGGGTTTGTCATACATGACTGAAAGGGCAAATGCTGAATTAGCAATACTTATGTGGGTGAGATGGACACACACACACCTGCTCAGAGCATCCATGGGCCTATTCAGTGCTATTAAAATACTGAGAGGCTGGACTGGTATGCAAATATATGGTGCAGCATGGGAGGAAGAGAGAGATTCATGTCCTTTAGAGAGAGATAGATGTGAAGAACAGGCTGAGGTGGGAGGCCTGCTAGCCACCAGGGGACATGGGGTAATCTGGTTCTGGGCTGCTACAAGTGCCATGTGTAGGTAAAGGCCCTACTGCAGCCCCATGTCAATGTCCATGGCCCTGTTACAACCAAGGCCCATGAGGATGCCTGGGGTTGGGGCTGTCACATGTGGTCAAATATGTGGAGTGCCATATTTCATAGGGACTATTCTGATCAGAATAGAGTCATCTAGGCTTGAAATGCATCCAGGGACCATGCTCCTACAGCAGCTAGGGTCTATTTTTATGTCCATGGTCCTCTTTACCATTGGGAGTGGTATGGATGACCACAGTTCACGCCTCCACCTGGGGGCCATGTTGGTGACTGAGGGTCACTCTGAAGCCAGGCTGATGCATATCTGAGTGGCCTGTGCAGCCACCTGAGGGCATGGTGACATCCAAGCTAAGGATGCCCCCAAGGATCATATCTGAATCAGTGCTTCTATGGCAACCTGGCTCTATGGTGATACCTATGGCCCACATTGCCACCAAATGCCTCAAGAACCCCCAGACCTTGAGCTGTACCTGTGGCAAGTCTGGAGTCTGAGTGACATGTTGCTGCTGGGGCCATGTCAGCAATGTTAGTAGCCTGAGCTGTCACCTGTGGCCATAGTGTTTTCCAGGCTCAAATTGTTACTGAGGGCCATGTCTCAGTCTGGAGCCCCACTGAAGTCAGGGTCTGCATCAATGTCAGAAGATCTAGCTACCCCTGAAGGCAATGAATGTCCAAGCCCTGGGATGGGTAAGCTGGATCCGCCACTAACAGGAGAGCTAGTGTCCCACACTTGAGAAAGCTTGCCCCTCCCCTTCACCATGCGCCTAGGAGAGCTGCATCAGCCGCTTAACTGAGAGGAATGTTCTGAGCAGCCAGGACCAAGGGACTCAGCTGCCAACCAGGCACACATCCAAGGATTAGATTTGTTACACCCCAAAATCTACACCATCTATGATCTACTGCAGTGTTTGAAGGAACCAATAATGTGGAACCATAGCCCCAGGATCCCCATGACTCTGGCCAACAGCAGGACATTGGAGACGAATGGCAGTGGGGATCCAGTATTGATGGTGTACCAAATCCAGTGGCTGTGAACCTGACCAACAACTCATTATACAACGAGCACGTGCAAGTACAGCTGTATGGACAAGAGGGTACACTGCATGACACACAGCAGCTCCCAGTGCCGCTAAGATGAATGCACAGGCCATGCAGAGGCCAGAAAGAGGACTGAAGTGTTTTTCCATTTAAAAAACTTTATTTATTTTTACCTATGTTTTGCTTTTCTTTACCTTTCCTTTGGAGAAGGGATGCTGCAAGTGTGAGAGGAAGATGTGTAGAGACTGGGAGATGAATGGAATTCAATTGTATGGTTTGAGGTTCTCAAATAATCAATTAAACATAATAAAAACAAAAGAAAAAAGAGAAATGCTATCTATGCAAATGTTTGAACACATAAAAATGCACAAATGGGCTGTGTAACAATAGGATGAACACATTCTCCCTCAACCCAGTGTGTTTCCAGACATCGAGCACTAAAGCTCTGTGTGCTTTTTCTGAGCCCCCTTTAGCTCCTGGATATTCTGGGGTAGAGTCTTCATCCAGAACTGCAGCTTTCTGACCTTCAGGGCTCGGCCCACAGCAGGATGTATGTCCAGCTCCAGGTACTGCTCATCATGGACCAACTCAGGCCAGTAGGGTAGACCATTGCTGTTGGGGTTCCTGTGGATATGCCACCAACAGGAAATGGTGATGAGCCAGGCCAAAGACCCAAGGGAACAGGTGTGCTGGTGTACTGATATAGAAGACAAGTAATACTAACCAGTGATTTCTCCATATGGAGCAAGTGAAGCTGTCTAGTTTTGTGTCTCCCTCTTAGAGAGAAAACCTAAAGAACAGTACAATACTATAACTCACCCACCAGATCTCTATGGGTTGAGCAGTAACTTAAAGCTAGTCTAAGTATGCCCTGGGTTAGAAAAGACTATGGTACAATTAAGGACCATGCATGCTAATGAGTCACACCCACATGGGAGTCCTGGATGGAGGCCCAAACATAGGAGGTTGAGGGAGGGGCATGCTCTCACCCATGTCTTGCAAAGTTGGCCCAGTACTTCATCATCCTCCTGTTCAGCAGCTTCTCCTCCTCAGTGAAGTCAACTGTAGACAGACAGAGACAGGACCAAAGTCCTAGCCACCTCATGCAGGTGCAACTCATGCTCTCCTATAGCAACAACAGCTGAGCCTGGATCATAGGCCTGGCTTATACTCTCTTCCCTCAGCACTAAGAACCCAGCATCCATCCAAGACTACTTGAATTCTGTCTGGTTCACTCCTACCCCAGTGTGCTGCCATTACTTCTAGCACAAGCTAGACTAAGAAAGGTTCATATCCTAACATTGGTATAGTTTGTTCTTTTCAGCTCAGGAATGGTGAACACTTGATCCTTTCTTTCCCAGAGCCTCAGTTTCCTCAGCTGGACTGAGAGCTCAGTAATCCTTCCAAATGCATTAGGGACTCTATTCAGCTCAAAGAAAACAAGCAAGACTCACCTTTCAAGCCCCAGAAGTAGGAGCCAAAGATAAAGGCAACATGATCACCATGGTCAGCCCTCACATGGGATGGCCTGACATCCTTATGCTTGATGTAGCTGGGCTGGTGCTGGAATTCATAGAAGTAGACAGGAGCCTGTGAGCCTGGGAGTGAGAACACATGTTGACATGATGATTTCTCACATGCAGCTTTTCTGCCTAAACTTTGATGGCAAGAACCCTTGCTCTAAAGTTATCTGGAATCACAGTTGAGTGATGAGCTCCAAACTGAAAAATTGACTATGGGAAACGTGTTAAACAGTGACTCTGGTATTCCTAGATGAGTAATTTTGACAAGTCTCTAAGTATAACTAAATGTTTCTTCCTCTCAACCTGGATAAGATGTAACTCATTTACTCTAGACATAAGTATTTACTGAGGTAAATATCTTCAGAGACATGATGATGACATGAGTCAGGCCTGGACACTACAGAGCTCACCTGGGACTCACAACTCCCCCAACCCTTGGTCTTGTTACAGATGTACTCACGCTGAAAATGTGCTACTTGGAGTGCAGGGATCACAAACATGAAGTCTCCCATCATCTCTGTGAACCGTGCTTGGAGGGTCTGGGGGGTCCTCAATGTGCCCCATGTAGTCATCCATTAGCAGGTCACTACACTCAGGAGGCAGCATCTACACCAGGAGGAATCAGGAAGAGAGATGTTAGACAGACTCTTGGATAGGTATGCAGCAGTCTTCTAGTAAGGAATGTTGCCAGAGATGGGATAGGATATAGGTGGAAAGTTACAAGCTTTGGGTGAGCCCACACAGAAACACACACAGACACTAGCATTTATTTCTGGGCATGACATCTGAGAACAATATATGGGAACCCTCTTTATCAGGACAGGAGCCAAGGTCTCTCACCATCTGTGCTGCTGTGCTCTTCAGAACAGCTGGCAGTGTCTCTCTGGTTATGTTCTTAATGACATGATCAAAGCCTTTCATCTGGTGGGGGTGGGGGAGCAAAGGAGAGTCTTAAGTATAGGATGAGTTGGACCTAGATTAGAGTGTCTCTGAGTTCCCACTTCCAGCCATTTGAGTTTAGGTTACCAGGGGCTTAGAAATAAGGCCTTACCAAGGGGATTCCCCAGCCACACTCGTCACTGTCTACACCAATGATGCTGGGAACAGTGTGAAAGTCCAAAGAGGCCAACAGCTCCCAAGGATGCCTAGGTAGGAACGTCCCATCCACCACAGCAGGGATCAACTTGAAGATCTTTGGGGCATTAACGGTCAGTGTTGAAGATTATTCATATGAATATTATGATGCCCACTGTATACCCACACTATTTCCCCCATTTCCTATCTCATCTCTGGATGCTGCATTAACTGCAGAAGAAACTGGACATGAAAATTAGCCTATTTGTTACTTCTGCACACAGTACTGGAAGGAAACCTAACCACCGGGATTGGTTAACTGGCTCCAGTAATAAGTACTGGCAATCCCACTTTATGGTGATCAGGTGTGCCCAGCCACACAATCCTCCCAACCTGGTTGATAGCCAGAATCTCTGCTTCAGTCTTGTCTCGTAGGCAGTGTACCATGGCCTCTGAGTTTGCCCCAATAATTATGTGCCTTTTGAAGGCTGACAAGCAACTGTTCTTTCCTAGGGGGTGACAAACTAAGAGAAATCTGACATTGTAAATGTACTTTATTATTATTCAAAAGTCCAGGAATAGCTACAGTTACAAAATCACCATGCAAAAAGATCTGCTCCTCTATCCCCTGACCTGCATGTCCAGCACAAATCAGATCCCCTACTACTAGGCTGGCTCTTTAGTATGGGTGGCCTCCTCCTGTATCAGTGATGCTTTGCTCAGGAGAAGGCTACTCTGTGGGCTTTGGTGGGGCATTTGGAGACAGTTCTCTCCTTCCACAATGTGGGTTTGGGGGTTGAACTCTGGCTACCAGCTTGGAGGCAAGCACTTTTATCTGCTGAGTCATCTCACAGGACCTGATAAGAGAATTTGAGGACACATGTTTCCTGCAATTTCTTTTGACATGTCTATGAGTTACCCCCTCTCTGTAGTGTCAGACTCTGACTCTGCAAAACTTACCAGGTTTAACTAAGTTTCCCTCTGTCTTATTGAGAGTCTTCCCTGAATGCAAAGAAGAAGCAGGAACCCACAGGCCCCAGCATTTACAGGTTTAAGGAGTTGAACCTGGGAAAGTGGGAACTTACTGATTCCAGACTGACAGCTGGGGAACCTGCATATCATTGAACTAGACTCCCTGAATGGTGTGACAGTTGGGGGGCTTGGGAAGTTTATGGGGCCACTGGCTGTGGAACCAGTATTTATTCCTAGTGCACGAACTGGCTTTTTGGAGTCCATTCCTTATGGAAAGACACCTTGCTTAGCCTAGACACAGGGGAAAGGGTCTAGATCCTGCCGCAAATGATGTGACAGACTTTGATGACCCCCACCATGGGAGGTGTCATTCTCCCTGAGGAGTGCATGGGGGTTGGGATGGAGAGATGGTGGGGAGAGCGGGAAGACCTGAGGGGGGCACTGGGATTGGCATACAAAATAAGACTGTTTTAAAAATAATAAAAATAAATATAAAACAGAAAAAAAAAGAAGTAAGTCTGGAGGCATGATGGATTCCTAGGCTTGAGCCTGTGCTACAGTGGGGTGCTCTGTGTGTCATTGATAGGAAACAGAATAGAGAGACTTTGCTCAGACAGCAATTTGGATCCAAAGTGGAGAGTTTGCTGGGACAGGGCAAAGTCATTGACTTGAACTGACAAGCTAGAGGTTACAAGAGCCAGTGAGCAGGAGAGAGGGCCAAGCCAGGTCTACTATTCAAGCCTCACCTTTAGCGTCTGTGGAAGGCACAGCATGTCTGTCTTAGGATACCAGCAACCCTCCCTTAACCTGGAGTCACCAAGTTCACAGTCCTTTCAGTAACAAGCCCAGGGCAGGTGCTGAGATGGAAAAGAGGCTGCAGAAAGGTGTAACTAGAAATCCCGTGAGGTCTTCTCTAGGAGATGCATGCTGAGGATGTCACTGGTGGACAATGGGACACAGCTCTGAGAAGGTTGACATGGATGAAAGAGAATTGCATGAGCAAGCCCACCATCCTGAAAACTCTCCCTGCTTCCAGGACTTATGATTTCCTGAGTCCACATCCAGGGTCCATGCTCCATTGTAGTTGTGATTTTTAAGTCTACACATCACCCTCCTGCTCCAACATAGCTATTTCATTGAGACACTGCAAACCTGGCACCTCAGAAGCACCTCCCCTCTACCCACTCCAACTCTATACTGCCTTACTTACCATGGCCAGCTCCTACAGAGATTAACTCACAGTTCTTTACCTTTTCAACAAACATTTAATGGGAACGTTCTGGTTCTAGTGTCTTGGACTAGCTTGGTTTTCAGAGCCTGTAATACAGGTCTCTGAGTAGGAGCTTCAGAATCACAAAGAACCCTATAGGTTACATCCAGGAGTGCAGGATCAGGAGCAGCTCCCATCTAGCCCACACTTTCAGGAGGTGTGGTGTGGGGTTCAGTGTCAGTCAGTCTGGGGTACCATCTGGGGATCAGTCTTGCCTCTACATTCCAAGTCCCCAATAGTCCTGGGCACCCACAGCCTGGCACTGCAGAATTTCCTTTCTCCTAGAATGACACGGTGGGTTTCACTTCTCTCTCATTCTGAGTGTATGACTTGTTCCAACTCTTCATGGAATCTCCTGTGTGCCTCTATTATCCTCTTCCTCTCTCTGCCCAGAAGTCCTGCTCATTATGGGTCAGGACTATATAGAATATTTTCCCCTCCTGTCAATGGCAGGCTCATGTACACAAAACCAGTGTGGGTTTTAGTACTTTGGACAACCCACTTATGAGCACTGGGAGATGACTAGTGATTGATACCCCAAAACTACCATTGTCTGTCTGAATCTAATCTGGCCTTGGGTCACATGGTTTCATGTGACTAAGGATAGATGCATATAAGGTATGCATGTGAAGCTACCACAGACCACAGACCAGGCCAGTCATGGAGAAGTGAAGGGAATCATGTCTATTCTCCTATGTCATAAACAGTTGACCCAGTACTTCATCACCATCCTACTCAGAAGTTCCTATTGCTCAGTGAGGCCAGCAATAAATAGAAGTAAAACAAGGTTCAATGTCCAAGTCACACCATGTTGTTCCCCTCTCATGTGCCACACTTACCATCCTGAAACTGTAGTCTAACTCAGGGGACAGTACTGATTCCCACTAATGCCATCTTCCAGGCTCTAGGTTCACCCCTGCCCATTCTGCCTTTACCCATTTCAGCCTGTAATTTAATCTTCCCCAGGAGGCACCGTCTTCATAGTGACATAGAGGCATCTTCCTCTGACATAGTGACACCACTTAGGAAAATATAAAACCTACAAACTGAGGTTCTCTGATCCATGGCCTGACAGCACTGTCATGGTGGGACAGGAAAGTGGAACACACTGTGACCTGTATTTTGGGGGGTTTCTAGGACCTCTCTGATCCACTTCTATGGAGGGATCTCATACTTGAGGCTAGGAAGCATGTGTTATAATCCACTATTTCTGGGAGTCACAATCTAGTAACAAAGGGTAACATCCTTCAGTCCCTCTTTTGTATTTTATTTAGGTTACAAGACAGTGGAATCCACACAGCATCTTTATATCTCTCTATCCCACCAAATTGCCCCCCCCCTTCGCAACTCCTATCTTCTCAATCTTCGATCTTCCTTCCTTCTGTATGTAACCTTACCATACACAATATGCCCCTCTTTACTTTCTTTTTGTCTATGTTACTCTATCATCCCCTTAAGAAACTCCCCTATGTCCTCTCCTGGTTTTTCCGACTTCCTGATATGTTCCATGATAAACAATAGAACTAAGAAGCCAAAGATATAATTGACATATCAAATAGTAATATGGTGTTTGTCTTTTTGAGCTTGTATTAACTCATTCAGTGTAGTTCTTTTCCAGTTCAATTCATCTCCCTGAAAATCTCATAATTCAGGTATCTTTAGAACTGCATAAAATTCCACAATGTAGGCAAGTGGTGGTGCACACCTTTAATCCCAGCTCTTGGGAGGCAGAGGTAGGTGGATTTCTGAGTTTGAGACCAGCCTGGTATATATAGTGAATTTCAAGATAGCCAGGAGGACACAGAGATACCCTGTGTCAGAAGAAAAAAATCCCACCGTATACAGTTATCATATTTTCATTATTAATTCACCAGATGATGGACATCTGAGCAGCTTCAATTCCTTAGCTTTTCTGAACTTGAACACACAGTTTTCATTATAGAGGATATAATGTCCAATATGATACATACAGATCATGATCACATAGTAGTTTACAATTTAGTCTTTTGAAGAACATCCAAACTGATTTCCAGAACTGCTATACCAGTTTGAAATCCCAACAATACTGAATAGGAATTCCTCTTCACTAACATCGGCATTTATATTTGTTGTTACTTTTATTCTTGATGATAGCCATCCTAACCAGGGTGAGATGGTGTCTTAGTTCTGGTTTCTACTGCTGTGAAGAGACACCATGACCATAACAACTCTTACAAAGGAAACATTTCATCTGGTGGTTTGCTTACAATTCAGAGGTTCAGTCTATTATCATCATGTCAAGGAGCATGGCACCATATGGGCAGTCATGGAGCTGGCTACATCTGCATCAGAAGCAATAAGAAGTGGCTGGGACACTGAGTGTGACTTGAGCATATATGAGACTTCAAAACCTGCCTCCAGAGTGGCACACTTCCTTCAACAAAGCTGAGCCTACTCCAACAAAACCACACCTCCCAATATTGCCACTCCCTTTGAGAACCATTTTCTTTTAAAACATATTCCACCTCCTGGTCCCCAATGGCTTATAACCATATCATAATGCAAAAAAAAAAAAAAAAAAAAAAACTCATTCAGTCCAATTTTAAAAGTCCCCATAGTCTATCACAGCCTCAACAATGCTTAAAGTTCGAAGTTCAAAATCTCTTCTTAACTGCAATCCCCTATAAAATAAAAAACAGATCATGTGCTCCCAATGTATAATAGCACAGGGTATACATCAAAATTATAAAATACATTGGAAAGGAGTACAGTTTGAATATACTGGACCAAAGCACATCCAAAACCCAAATGAGCTGGGAAACTCCAAATTGTGCATCTCCATGTCTGATGCCAAAATGCTCTTCAGATCTTCAACCCCTTTCAGCCTTGTTGACTAAAACACAGTTCTCTCTTGGGCTGGTTTTGCTCCCTGTCAGCAACATTCCTCAACAAGTATCACATGGCTCTTGTGGTCTCCAAAGCAATCTAGCCTTCAACTTCACAGCTTCACAAAATGGCCTTTCTGGGACTCCATTCATGGAAACCCCTGAAACATTCCTGGCTTTATTTAGTTACTGAGGCAAATTGTATAGCACCTTTCTTCTATCCATAACTTCAGAACCACATGGCTGAAGCTGCCAAGTTCTTCTTCTTGCTGGGCCTGGAACATGACCCGCTCAATTAATTACATCTTCACCAGCTTTCTGTTTTCCTTCTCTGCTTAAGCTTGGCTGTCCTGAAACTTTCTTTGTAGACCAGGCTGGCCTCAAACACAGAGCTCTTCCAGTC